CAGCAGCAAAAGAAGCAGCAGATGCCAAACTTGAAACGGAGCACCAGTTTGATTTGGAAAAGTCTTTAATTGACCTTATTGTATCTTGTGTTGCGAGGCTTCCAGTGAAAACAGGTTAGGGTTTAGGGTTTAGGGTTTAGGGTTTGCAGGCTTCAAGCAGCACTTCTGCAGCCTTGCTGCAGCGCACACAGCAGCACGGCCCCCTGCTGCTGCTGCTCACCAGCCCCACCTGGAGCGCAGCAGCAGCAGCAACAGCAGCACCAGCAGCAGCAGTAGCAGCAACACCAGCAGCACCAGCAGCAGCAGAACTAGCACCAGCAGCAGCACCAGCACCAGCACCAGCAGCACTAGCAGCAGCAGCAGCAGCAGCAGCAGCAGCAGCAGCAGCAGTTGCATGCGTGGGTTGTGCTGCGCAGGGATGTACGCGGCGTGTGTGGGGCTGCTGCACCGCAAGGCTCGGCTGCGGGGCTTTCTGCAGTCTTTGCTGTTTGCTGCTGCTGCTCGCATGCGCCTTTCGCTGCAGCAGGGAAATTTGGCAGAGACCAAATTGCTGCTGAGGTTCTTCTTCGGACTCGCCAGCAGCCACGTCCTCAAGCTCGTCCGCCGGGGTTTTGGGTTTAGGGTTTAGGGTTTAGGGTTTAGGGTTTGGGTTTAGGGTTTAGGGTTTGGGTTTAGGGTTTAGGGTTTGGGGTTTGGGTTTAGGGTTTAGGGTTTGCGGCTGGGCGTGGGGCGGCGCCCCGGGGCCCCCTAGCAGCTGGGGCTAGGGTTTGAGGCTTTGCATGCGTTGTGGGGCTGCTGCATGCGCTGCGTGCTGCATGCGGTGGGCTTTGCATGCGTTTGGGGCTTTGCATGCGTTTTGGGGCTTGCATGCGTTTTGGGGCTTGCATGCAGGCGCCGGTGATCGCCGTGGTGAAGCATTTGCTGCAGATGGCCAACGATCTTCCCCAAACCACTGCGGAGCACGTGGCCCACACAGCAATGGTCAGCCACTGCAGCAGCAGCAGCAGCAGCAGCAGCAGCAGCGGCAGCAGCGGCAGCGGGGGGCGC